TATGTCATGAAAAGCTAATGTTCTGTTGAGATGAGAGTTTATGCTAATTAGTCTCTTACTAGAAATGGCAATAAAGAATAGAGGTTTGGTAAATCGTTTCATGACATCTACGGTATATGACTCACCAAAAAGTTTTTTTTTTCTTCACGATGAAAACTATATAAAATGTCTAGATTTAGATTTTCCATTTGCTTAATTTGGCAAAGAACCATATGTAATCAACTTTTTATTATTTTAAAAAATGGTTATGCAAACCGATACCAATTTAATGAAATGAAAATAGTTTTGGTTAATAATACCTTGAAATCATAATCAGAAACTACTTAGGGTCATTCAGTTACTAATTTTAACTAGATTTATTACCGTCTGTAATAAATCTCCCTAATGATGATGATATATGTATGTTTCGATTTCCAAAAAAAAAAAAATTAGGTATTGTTGGAGAGTTTGAATAAAACGAATGTTAAGGGATAAGAAATGAAAAAATAGGGTGTATTTTCGAAGATATGAAAGTAGAGGGGGGGGAGGATGAAAAGAATAAAGAGGAAAGTTGCGACTACATAATCCCCCATCCGTTTTCCCATTCTCAAAACGTTTTCTCGTCTCGAAAGTTAGAAAGAGTTTGGTGCGAAATTGATCAGAAAGATGTTGTTCGGCTGGTCCTCCGACGACAGCGAGGAGGGTTGGTACACCGACAACGGCGAGAATGGAGGGATGGATCCCGTGGAAAAGGAAAAGTATCTTCAACAAGTCAGGCTTCTAGTGTAAGGATCGATTTCATTGTTAGGGTTTGTTTTGATCCGACTTGAAGTTAATCTCTACTTGTCCAGGGATTCGATGTTGATGACTTCGATCATCCATTTGGTGGGATAAGACCTATTGGATGTATTCCTTCTGATGCACTCTTGGGAAAAGTGGGACTACATTGCTTCAATGCTCACAATGTATGTATGGTGTTTCTCTATTACCCTTGCTTCTTTTTTTTTGCTTGTGCTTGTGGATTGGCTTTTAGTTACATTATCATATTTCTAGGGGACAAATCTACAACGGTAACCAAAGTAAATGCACAAGTTGTTTCCTTTGTGAACTATTACTATACATTGGAGGCTATGGATCCACTCAACAATTCACATGTTACTATTCAAACCTGCGTTTTGGATGCTGCACCGCGTAACAATGAGAAGTTGCGACTTTTCACTACTTCTTGCTGGATCAAAGGTAACTTGAAAGTTTGTCTAGTTGTTTCTAAGTCGGCTTGGTTTTTACAATCTACTTATATGGACAAGTAAGTGTTTGGTTGTTCTTGTAGGATCTCAAGAAGAAGCTACCCAATGGGACGGAAATGTTGTAGATGGCTTCTATTCTGGTTTGATGCCTACTTGGCTAGAGCTTGATGATTCACTTAGAGGAACCAATAACGCGCTACACTACTCTGAGGTGTGACTGATTTCCATTATGAGACAAGAATTACCTTAGTGTTAATGTTACTTATGTGTTTTTCAATTGCAGGTCAAGGAATCAGATGTGCAAGAGAATGAATGGCTTCATATATATGCTCAAGTTGCAGCATACTCTGAGTGGGACATTGACATGGTGAGGATAAAGAGCCTATGGAAAGTTTTGTTTCAACCATGATTTGTGTTGTTTGGTCTCTTCTATCAACCAAGCTTTGTTTTATTTTGCAGGAGGATCATTTCCCATTGAAGCTGGAGAAAGTAGTGGTACAAACGAAAGAATATGTGGAGCCGAGTGTGAGCAAGGTGAAGTGTAGCAATGCAATCTTCTACATAGTCTTCAAGACTTGTGAAGGCCTCAAGCACAACGCTGTAATAAGGCAAACGGTGGATGGAAGACCAGGACACATGTCCCTTGAAGTTACAAGTGCAGTGATCGACAACTAGACAACTTCTATAACCATTTATATATTTGATCTTTCCATGCCTATATATTTTGGTTTGGTGGTATTGTGTGTTTAGAACTTTGTGGTAAGTTAACAAGAACACCTAATCTTTATTGTTGGTAACCTTGAATGGTTAAAGACAACTTATCCAAATTCCATATCTTGTCTTGTTTTCATTCACAATATTTGCATCTTGAATTTCAACTTACATTGTGCATCAATATTTCGAAACAAACTGACCTAACCCGGTTCACAATTCAGCCTTTGGGATTCCCAGTTTGTTTGTTTGTTTCTGAGGCAGCTTCACTTAGATTGTGATGAAGAATCCTCATCTTTTGTAGTCCAAGTCAAGATTAGACAATAATGAAAAAAGGCAGAAACAAAATATTGTTCTATTGAATAAATGATCAATTGGTTTGCAAAACTTATACGAAGTGATTATAAAGCCTCCCACAATGCATTTCCTATGCTTAAACACAGAAAATGAGCTTCTCGTTGCTGCTCCTGCAGGGCATAAAAACCTTACCCCGCATTTTAACTTATCGAATTCTATCGCCAGATTTTGCAAAGCAAATATAAAACAGAGCTGAGTAGAAGAGCAGTGTATTCTTCCAAAGATTTCAAAATTCTTGATGTTGAGATCCTCAGGGACAAGCTTGGTGAGTCTGAAAGGCGATTCTAGCACCAGAGTGATGAAGAAACTTAGGAGACTCTTTTGACTTTTCGAAAGATTTTGCTCATGGACTATTAGATATTAGATCAAGCAATCTGGCTATGGCTAAGAGATAAGATCACATCATCTTTCTTTGCTTCTTCATTCTACTTGTTAAGCTTCACTATCCACAGAAACTAATTGTTTATTCTCTCTTTTCTTTTTCACCTGTGAAATCAGAAGGAATAATCTGTAAAGACACCTTTTTGTTTTTGTCACAACCAAAGAATGCACAAAACTTGGAGTAGAGTCATACCAACTTGTTAGGGAAACTCTGTGCATCAGTGAACTTTGAAGGTGCAGAATAATGAGACTTATTTCGTAGAATCTCAGAGAGACGCCGCTCGTTCTTCTCTTGCCTAAGTAAATATCTCAATGAAACTGATTCTTGCTCAAGCTTTGATACTGTGATTTCCAGTATCGCTAAGCTGTCCAAAAGCTCTTGTGCCTGCAAATTCTTAAATGTTTAAGCGAAAGCCACGAAAGAACATTAATCTTGGAGGAAAGGATTGACCTTATCAGGAAGTTGACAAGGCGAATCCATGAACGGCGAACTAGAGTGCTCAACTGCGCTTGTTAAAGCTAACCCTAAATTAATCTCCTCTTGTAACTGCTGCTGCAGTCTCTTGACCTGTACAATCCCAAACATTATTAACATATCTAGCACCATTACAGGCTGTACATCAAGAGAATTAATCAAACTTTTCAATCGTTTCTTAAGAGTCATGTAGATGAATATGATAGTGATAGACACAAACTGAGTGTAGGATCTGACTCACTTACATCTTGTTCAAGCTCACATTTATACCATAATTTGCTCTTTCCTTCAAATCTACCACTAGTCTGATGAATCATCTTGCTTTCCTGCTACAAAAAAAGAAATCCAATTTCAATCAGATTAACAATTTGGTGTGACCATAAACCCTCAAAACCCTAGATTTACTTGACAAACATAAACTAATCAAGAAATCAGATAACAATGAAAGCCGCAGATATATAGAGAGAGAGAGGTACATTACATCGAGATCAGGAAAATACAAAGACCCATCTCCAGAAGAGTAAGATCTTCTCGAAAATGTACCAGTCTTCTTCAAATACCTCCGGATCGAGCTTCCCCTAAGAGGAAATCGAACAATATCAGTAACAAAAGAAACCAAATCGAGAGAAAGGAACACGAGCATTGTGT